ATATATGCCAATGATACCAGCCCTTGGGAGGCTAAGGCAGGAAGACCACAAGTTCAAGGCCAGCCTGAGCTATAGCAAGATTATGTCTGAAAGAAAAAAATCCCTGAACTATTATATACTTTCAATGAATATGCTACCCAATTCTTCACACTTCAACCATAACTCAGCAGTCAGCTATGAAGGTATTGCTTACCTGGATCAAAATTATCACCAAATATTCTCTTGGCAGGAATCTTCAGAGCCATAGCAGGAAACTGTTTCTTTAGCTAAAAGTTAAACAAAAAAAGCATTACATGAACTATTTCTAAGTCTTTTACTTATGCTTACACTAAATCCAATACAATGTGATATTAAAGAAAGTTCATCATTAGACATATTTTAAGTATGATGATATAATGTAGAATATTTATTATCAATAGAATACCACAGACTGACTAATCATCCTATATTTTATCCCACTAAATCACTTAGTTTGTATGTGACCCTGGGCAGGTTACTTAACTTGTCTATGTGTGGTGGTCTGAATGAGAAATGGCCCCCACAGGCTCAGGCATTTGAACACTTGGTGCCCAGCTGATGGTGCTGTTTCAGAAGGTTCATGGAATCTTTGGGATGTGTGGCTTTGCTAGAGGAAGTGTGTAATTGGGGGTGGGCTCTGAGTGTTACAGCCTCATCTCCCTTCTAGCTTTCGCTCCTTCCTGCTCAGCTTGCTGCTCTGGCTGCCATGCCTGCTGTTTCCTGCAATGCCCTGAGAAATGATGGACTCCTATCCCTCTGGAACTGTAAGCCAAAATGAACTTTCTCTTTGATAAGTTGCCTTGCTCATGGCTTTTTTTTTTTTTGGTCTTTTTTGAGACAGAGTCTCCCTGTAGCCCTAGCTGTCCTGGAACTGGAACTCACTATGTAGACCAGGCTGGCCTTGAACTCACAGAGATCCGCGTGCCTCTACCTCCTGAGTGCTGGGATTAAAGGCGTGCACCACCACGCCTGGCGCTCATGGCTTTTTATCACTTACAGAAAAGTAACTAATACAGAAGTTGGTACCATAGAGCAGTGTTACTGTGAAGAACCTGATTATACTGGTTTTTGGAGGTATGTGGAAGACTGGAACTTTGGACTGGAAAAAAAAAGACACTCAAATCTTAACTAACCAGTCTCCAGCCACCTTAGTCATGAAGGTACCACAAAAACTGGCCATTGGATCTGCACTGAATTATCTGATGGTCCCCACACCCATGCTTATGAACAGTTACAAACCACTTATGTACAGTTCCACAAAAGGCAAAAAGTTTAGAAGGTAAAGTTGCCTACACAATCTTTTAAGAAAATCCAGAAAGCCTCAAATTTCAGTTGTTATGATGTTTTTGGATAAAACTTGATTTTATCTCTCCACCAGAAGTTCACATACACTATACTCCTGCTATATTAATTTTACCTAAGCACAACCTAAGGTGTACTCAAAAAATGCTGACCATATAGATATTGAGAAGGTAGGAGACACAGAGCTAACAGTTTTCACCAGCTTCCAAAGTAAACCAGTTTTTTTTTTTAAAATCACTAGAAAAATCAAGAAGCATAATCCTACTCTTATTGCTATTTTCCTTCAAAAATGTTATCTCACTCATGTCACTACAATTACTATCTCAAAATCCTGTTTAGCAATATGTAGCTATATGTAGAAAATTAAGACATGAATATTTTAAAGAAAAAATAAAGAACAGAATAAAACAATAAAATGTTATCTTTGAATAACAGGAAATATTGTAAGTTTAACATATTTTTATATTTCTCTATTCAGATTTTCTAGAATATGTAATAATTTTACATAGGGGCAAGTAAAATGTCTCCTAAAATTGTAACATTATTATTATTATTATTATTGGGGATTTTTTGCATTTTAATTGAATTTTTATGATTTTCATACAATATAGTTTGATGGCATTTAGATCCTCTTCCCTCTCTACCTCTCCCCACTGCCTCCTGCCCAATTTAATGAACTCTCATATATAGAGAGAGCCTATAGAGTATGATGTGTGTCCCCCAATGTCCTTCAGTGTGGATCCATCCACTGGACCCACCAAGAGTCACAACCCTCTAAGACACTGTCTTTCCCACTCCCAGCAGCCATCAATTGCCAAAAGTCTCCTAGGCTGAGTTGGGATTTCTTACCCATTTCCCCATCCATGTCTATACTGAGATTTTGTCCTGTTTGAGCTTGCATGGAACTTGTGCATGCTGTCACCATTGCTGTGACTTCATATGAGTAAATGACCAGCTTATTGGTTTTTTTGAGCTGCCCTGGATCTCATAAAGATCCACCTGCCACTGCCTCCTGAGTGTGGGAATTACATAAGCCACCACATCCAGATATAACATTAATTTTTAGAAATTCTATTTCAATTAGCAAATCAGTTCAGTATTATTTGGGACAGATATAGTAAAATGTTAAATAAGATAAGTCAGAAGTTATCTAACTTTAATAATGACTTAATAAAACCATGAGACACTGTGACACTATAATTCATTCCAGTCCACTTGGAGACTAGTTTCTCTTTTAATTGAGATAACTTTAACTTCCTTCATACTTTAAAAAAATATATTACTGCCTTTAATCCCAGCACTCGGGAGGCAGAGGCAGGTGGATCTCTGTGAGTTCAAGGCCAGCCTGGTCTACATAGTGAGTTCTAGGACATCTGGGGCTACAGGGAGACCCTGTCTCAAAAAGACAAAAAAAAAAATCTTACAAATGATAGCCTACAGGCTTAGATATTTTTAAATTTTTATCTTATATTTAAATTTATTTAATTATTTACTTTTATTTATGTATGTGTGTCTGCCTGCTATCTGTATGTGTACCATGTTTATACAGGTACCTGTGGAGACCAGAAGAGGGTATCAGACCTTTTCCCTTTGCTGCTTGGTAACATGCATGAGTTTATTCATACAAATAAAATTTCTCTTCTCTTGGGGTTTTCTCAAGTGTTTTGTTTCTAATAGAAATCTTGTAGTCTCTTACAGTGTTATAAAGTTTGTCAAACTCTGCATATCTTCTGAAGACGAACCACTCGCTCCTGCCCACAGAGACCAGAACTTTATAAACCTGTGGAGATAAATATGGCATAACTTAACAAATTTTAACTGTAAAAAGAACATTAGCTGTCACGCTGGGCATGGCAGTGCATGCCTTTAATCCCAGCACTTAGGAGGCAGAGGCAAGTGGATCTCTAAGTTTGAAGCCATCCTGGTCTACATAGAAAGTTGCAGGCCAGCTGAAGCTTCAGAAAGACCCTGTCTCAAAAAGACAAAAACCAAAACATTAGCTGTCTAAATACATTAAAAACTTTTAATATTCATGAACTTGATATTGTTTATATGACTCTCCAAGCACCACACCAAATGAAGCATGTATTTTATCTTATCAAGCAGTTCTGAAAAGTCATGAAAATTTTGTTATTTTCAGAAAATAACTGTGGACACGTGTGTACTCACTGTCTAGATCTATTGTCTAACATTTTTTTTTTGTATTCTTGTTTCAGACTTTCTTTCCCAAGAATAAAACACAGTCAACTGATGTCAGTTTTCTTCCTTAGCAGTTAGCTATTGCTGTGAAATTATCAAGTATTTTCAAAAGTGATGCCTGGCCCAGAGTAAACACTCAACTATTAGTTCCCTTCCTTCCAGACCGTCTTTATACAGTATTTTCAAATGAAAATTTTATCCTTAGATTTTCTAAAGCCATCTTAAAAACATATCTAATATTTTCATATGTAATCTCATAATCATAGTCAACAATCATATGAAGAATAATTAACTCCTACTGGACATAAGAAAATGTTAGCCAAAAAGTTGACAGATTTAATAAAAATAAAAATGAGACTAAAAATCAGCTTCATTTTCTCCCCTCTATGCATCAGAACCAGTTTAAATCATCATCAGTTACAGAATTAACTCTCATAATTCATCCCAAAGGTACCCTCAGAATATAATTTAACACACTGTGCACTTGGTCTTCGTCAAAAGGCAAAGAAGCAATAATTCAACTATAATGAATTATGAGACAAGAGTTTGGGGAACTGTGATGGTTAGTTTTTGTCAACATGACACAAATTAGAGTCACTTGGCAAGAAGGAAGCTCAATTGAGGAACTGCTTCCATCAGACTGGCCTGTGGTCATGTCTGAGGCATTTTCATAATTCATTGATGTAGGGGAGATGCAGCCCACTGTGGGCAGTGCCAAGCCTGGGCAAGTGAGCCTGGGTTGAATAAGAAATGTAGCTGAGCAAGCCAATAAGTAGTAGACCATTCATTCCTCCATGGTCTCTGCCTCCAGGTTCCTGCCTTGACTTCCTGCCCTGACCTCTCTCAATGATAGACTATCACTTGGAAGTCTAAGATGCAATAAACTATTTCTTCCCCAAGTTAATTTTGGTGAGAGTGTTTTAACACAGCAATAGAAAGTTAACTAGAACAGGAGTCCAAAGATCTTATTATTTCTAAAGGGAAAGTAACAATAAGTGAAAAATATGCAGACAGGGTGACTGACAAAGGGCTCAGGTTTTAATTTGGTATTTTACAGTAAAGACTAGCAAAGAAATATGAGTTGCTTTGGGGGATTTATTATACAAGTGTCCATAGTCTGTTAGTGTAAGAGAAGACCAGGCTCATCTCAGAGCCACATAAATGTGTATAAACTACGCTTTTCCATGAAAGGCAGGAATCGACACCCTCAACTTCCCTTTAGATAATACTATGAAGAAAATATTGTTCTGATAGTTGTGTGATTATACTATATGAATACTGTTTAAGAAATGGTCACATTAACATTCTGAAGGGTCCCAGGATGTACAGCCATATTAAAGTTCTAGCTTTCTGTGAGAAGAGGGATGAATGACATCCCACTAAAAGATAAGGCAAAGTCACTGGTACCAGTTATCTGAGTAAGGGATGTATCAGTCAGATGGAGGAAAAAGAGGGCTGGGCACCATGTGAGCTAAGACTTAGGACTGTCAGAGGGAGCTAGTAGATGTAAAATGTTAGAATTGAATCTAAGGTAACAATCCCCAAATGGAGCAAATCAGACGTAAAGAGGAGAAGGCCTAGTCAAGTGCCAGTGAAGTTGGCTGAAACTATAGATTCACTTGATCCACTTTTCAGGATTAGACATGGCTTAGAATTAGCACTGATAGAAAAAGACAAAAACAGGTTTGTATTTTCCAGCCCACCGAGGGCAGTGCCAAGCCTGGGCAGGTGGGCCTGGGCTGAGTAAGAAATGTAGCTGAGCAAGCCAGTAAGTAGTATTCCTCCATGGTGTCTGCCTCCAGATTCCTGCCTTGACTTCCTGCCCTAACCTCTCTCAATGACAGACTGTCACTTGGAAGTCTAAGATGCAATAAACTATTTCTTCCCCAAGTTAATTTTGGTCAGAGTGTTTCATCACAGCAATAGAAAGCTAACTAGATTTTAAAATCCTTTGTACCTACTTCCTGGTGAGGAGAGGAAAAAAAGGGAAGCAGTCTCCCCTGGCTAGCCAAGACAAAGCCAAGTCTAGGTTCCAGGATGGAGAGGCTCTGCAGCAAACACAGGAACAGGCCTTGCAAACATGGTAACGATATGATTATAAGCAAGTGCTATTAAGTAGCAACAAACATGAAATTATCTTATGTATATCTGAGTAGTACCTTAGTATCTGTCTTGCCCCAACAGAATGTAAGTTCCTTGAGAGCTAGGACTGTGTCACTCCTGCTACTCTCTGAATGTCTAGTACCTAGAATAGTGCCTAGCATACAGAAATTCACTAACAATCTGTCACATGGATAAATTAACGTATAATTTAGACTTAAGACCTGCTAGATGGCAACACATGGCTGACTCTCTGAGAGTTATACAAAAGGCATATGAAGCCAGGCAAGGGAAGTGGAGCTCTGTGAGATCCAGCCTGGTCTACACAGTGAGTTCCAGGCCAATGAGGGGCTACAGGGAGATCCTGCCTCAAAACAAAACAAAACAAAAACCAAACAAATAAACACTGGGGTTGGAGAGATGGCTTAGCAGTAAGGAGCACTGGCTGCTCTTGCAGAGAACCCACATCTGGTTCTCAGCACCCACATGGTAGCTAACAACTACCAGTTAACTGCAGTTTCAGGGGATCCAACACCCTCTGTTGACCTCTGAGGGGATCACACAACATGGGTGCACTGACATACATGCAGGCAATACACTCATACATATAAAGAAAACAGAGATAAAAATTTTTAAAAAGACAAAACAAGCAAACCAAAGAAGCATATGAAAACAAGAATATAAAGTATTGAGCACTCAGTAAGTCAGCGTCTATTTTTGTTCTGAGTACAGGTGCCCAGGCCTGCTTATGTGGAACACAGACTGTGCTGGATGAGTGTGGTGGTTTGAATGAAAATGTCCCCCATGGCTCCAAGTATTTGGACATTTTGTCCCCAGATGGTGGTACTGTTTTGGAAGGTCTTGAGGGTGTGGCTATCCTGGAGGAAGCAGGTTACTGGGGGTGGGCTCAGAGAGTTCTTAGGCCTTGCCAGATCTCCAGCTGCTCTCTTGCTTCCTGTACCTGATGATGTGAGAGCTTAACTTCTGTTGCTCCTGCTCCAGCCACCTCCAGCCACCATGCCTCCCCACCATGACGGACTGTAATTTCCCTGGAACTGTAAGCTCAAATAAACTCTTCCTTCTATAAGTTGTTTTGGTCAGTGCTTCTATCACAGCAACAGAAAAGTGACTAATATAATGAGCTACAGACATGTATTTATATAGCCATGTTTTGGAAAGCTGAAGACTGTACTGTGGTGACTGCAACTAATATTATTTCAACAATCATCTGTAACTCTAGTTCAAGAGGATCCAGACACCCTCGTCTGTCCTCCATGAGCATTGTATGATACGGGTTCACTGACATACATGCAGGTATAACACTCATTACACATAAAAATAAATAAATATCTGTTTAAAGGTCTAGTGAAACAACACAGCAGGAAGTCCTTCCTCAAATGACTTTGCATTTTAGCAGGCAGAGTATACATAAAAAAGACAAAATATATCAGGTGATTATTTAGAAAGTAAGTGGGACAGAGTAAAAGGGGTAGGGCGAGGTATGAAGGTGCTATTTTGTATTTTAAGTGGTCCCCCCAAAAAGGCCTTTAATCAGGTAATATTAATGAAGACGTAAATGAACAAAGTGACTGGGACAGGGCGTCTGAGAACCCAGGGCGTGGCATGGGAACATGAGGATAGGGGTCTTGCTAGAGGCCTCCCTGACCCTTTCATAGAATGTGTAGAAATACTTGTCTCTCCTTGAAAAAAGCAAAGGGTACCCAAGTTAACCTACTGCCCACATTGTATGAACTTCTACCAAACATAACAGGATATAAAGTTCCCGAAGGACAGAAAAGCCTAGAAGTAGAAGCAAAAAGTGGGAAGGAAGGAAAACTTGCATACACTCTACTGCTTAACCCAAAATATAACAACCTTCAAGATGATATGCATCATTTAAGATATTGTTGATAGCCAGGAGTGGTAGCACACTGGGGAGGCAGAGGCAGGTGGATCTCTGTGAGTTCCAGGCCAGCTTGGTCCACATAGTAAGTTCTAGGCAGTTGGGGCTGCAGGGTTTTTTTTTTTTAAAAAAAAAAAAAAAAAAAAAAAAAAAAAAAAAAAGATATTATTGGTAAAATATACAATCTTACACAGACACACCTGCAACACAGAAGTTGGGGAGAGATAATAACCAGATATATACTCTAACCTCTCTGTACTAGGAGGCATCAGTACAGGGAAGTATGTTTGTTTAGGGAATAGAGGGCCAAAGAACTGTTCCCCTGTTCCATGTCTGGAAGCTCGAGAGAAAGCCACCATTTGTAGTCTCTCAGCCTTTCTTACATTCTCACAAATTAAGAAGGGAGAATGGAGTAGTCATATAAAGGGTTTAGCACAACTTTTCAGTTTTTCTCAATGCTCATAGATCTGACTTGAAAATCACTTGTCACAGTGATTTTCAGAGGTTCAATTTGAAAGGATTAGGTGACCCACTCATTACAGGTTTGTGACAGATCACTGAGCTAAGCTCAGATAAAGACATGTAAGAGCCCAGGGGGCTGTTGAGCTACTGAATCAGCATAGTGCATCTATGAGACCCTGGTCATGCCAACAGAAGAGATTTTCAAGTTCAAGTGCAGTGGCCAGCAATGAACACTGGCTAAAAGTCTAGGCTACATCATGTTAGCCATACTGGGTATTTGCCAGAACAGACAGTCTACAGTTTGTACATCAAAGCTTTAAATGGATGACAAGAAGGAAGCCAGTCATCTATTCAATGAACACTGAAAGTGGGCATCTTCCTATAAACCAAGATGTGAACCTGAGGGAGGGCTGTGTGCTCGAATAAGACAGCCTGGGCATTTTTTACCCAGATGAGACTAGGTACTAAACAGTGTTGAACTAAATAGTTGAATGAATTTCTTCATACTACACAGTTGAGGGCAACTTATAGGGAAAACCAGGTCAGAAGATGTATTCAGGAGAAGGGCAAGGGATCTCTACATATACTAACTTAGTACTGGAAATAAATACAATATTCTGTTTTATTACACTAGTAGGAAAGTTCTCAGCTGGAAAGATGAGTTAGAGGTTAAGACCATTTTTTGTGCAATCATCAAGAGTTAGGATCCCAGTACCTATTTAACAGGCTGGGTATCCTGAACATCTGTAATCCCATCTCTGAAGAAGGCAGATAGGAGGTTCACTGGGACTTTCTGGCTTCCAGTAGCCAAGAAAACATGAGTCCTAGGTTCTGGGAGAGATCCTGCCTCAAAGGAACAGGTAGAGTGATAGGTGAGAATGCCCAAAGATACCTAATTACTTCTTATGGATGCCACACATATGCATAGATGCGTAAGCATGCACACCTACATGTGTGCATGTGTATACACACAAATTATAGTAAGACATTATGGAAATTTTAAGACAGTAGTTCTTAACAAGGGATTAAGGAGCTGACAGTGCATACAAAATTACAAGTGCAGAGACCAATATGTCTGTACACATATATCTCCTGACAAGAGGATTTATGAGTTTCAAAGAATTCTCCAAAGGGCCAGGTAAACAAGCAAAAATCTGCACTGAAAGAGACAATTACTGTTACAGTAGCTAAGGAAGGCTTTGTGGTGGATTGCTCATTCAAAAGAAGTATGTGGAAATCAGAGGAGAGGCAGTCTAGGTTAGAAAGAACAGAATCAGAAATGGCAATTGTCTCTGCAATTATTTTCCCCTATGCTCTATGTTGCATACTTACAGTAAACCTCTTCTTCTTCTCTCTGTGCTCATCGGAGCTGGGAATGCTTACACTTGGGCAGCTCTCTTTGTAATCCATGGTGCAATCTCTTTGTATTGTCTCAAAGGACACCAAAAAATGAGTCTGAAGAAGTCCTCAACAGAAGGTAAGTACAAATAACTAATCCAAAATATGAAATCTTTTGAGGTAATGTTCAAATCCCATCATGGAACCTTAATCAATAGAAAAAAAAAGATTATTAGCAAAACAATTTAAAAATACTATCATGGGGACAGGAGAGATGGCTTAGTAGTTAAGAACACCTACTGCTTTGCAGAGGACTAGAGTTGGTACCAAGCACCTGTGGTGTTAGGAGGCTCACAACCACCCATAGCTCCAGATCCAGGGTATCTTAACACCCTCTTTTAAACTCCGCAGGCAAATGCACACTTACAGATGCACACCCATACATACAAAATAAAAATAAAATAAATCTTTAAAAAATACTGTTTTGATTTGTCTTTCCTTATAAGGGGACAGAGCAGACACTTAACTCTGGCAGGAATTTCGTTTTACTTATCTTAAGTCTCTGCCCAGGTTAAAGATTTAGTTTCTGCTATGTCCCATCACTAAACCACATCAAACATTTATACCCATCTACATTCCTCAGCACTCAAGAAACTCCAGCAACTTATATGCTGTGGTTCATGTGGGCTTAGGGTCAGCACATTTAAAGGTGATGTAACTGGATGACCAGATACTGGCCCCCCTATGTCGGTAAGCTACTGCTTTAGTATGAGAACAGGTTGAGTCCATCACTCTTTTAAAGAAGACTGGCCTTATCTGGGAGCCCCTGGACTTAACTTCCCCATCTGCAGTAGAGGTAAGAGGGAGAATGTTATGAGCTATACTATTCCCACCCCTCCCTTGAGACTATGGTTATTGAGTGATGGTCCTGCTGGTACATTACTACTTATGACCTTAAATGTCTGTTTATGCCTTACTGGAGTGTATAGTACAAAGAACAGAACAGAACATCAGGCCTCAGATTGCCCTTTGGAAAAAGACAGAAAGGTATCACATCCAATAGCATCAGGAATGAAGGAGGAAGATGGAAGAGCTGTTTCTCACAAGATGCCCAAGATACAGTAAGAGCACAGGGAGAACAGGCAGGGGTAGAAAACTCTACTCAAGGTATACTACCAAACCAGGGCCAGAGGTCCTACATAGGTAACTATGCTAGTTAGTCTGCATTTGCCCTGCCAGATTCAATCACAAATCTTTCTCCACCCTGGCACACTCTTATAAAGACGCACTGAGGCCACCGCCCTCCCATCCCAGTATTCTGGCTAGGTTCAACCAAAGAAGCACTAACAGAACAGAGGGTAAGAGGAGTGGGATGCTAAGATTATTTTTCCTCCCTGGTCTCTTTTTAATAGTAGTGATTTATTTAACAGAAGTCACAGTTTTTACCAGGCAGCCCGTTCTCCCATAGCTACAGATGAAGGCCTAAGAGTAACAATGGCTTCCTGATCTTGTGAGGGAAGAGGGAGCTTCCCCATGCCTTGCTTGGGTTTCCTTCACCCTGCCCATAACACCTTAGTAAAGGGTCCTTTAGTTAGGCTCTCTTCATTACTTTTGAGTATGCCATGTGCTAAACAGGTAACTGGTATCAACAATAGGCTCAGGAAACGGAGCTTCAAATATGGGATGCATATTTTATATGTGTCCTGATAACCCTTTTGTGGAGGAAGAGGATGGTGCAATGATATATAGGAGGACAAGGATGGGGTGCAGATAGACGGCAGGGTGCTAGAAATCCAAGCAGCTGATGAAAGTGCTGACTTTAGAGATTGTAGCATGGACTGGGGTTGCTTCTAGTTGCCCTTGGAGGTGTGCACACAGCAAATGAAAGGTTGAATATGGGAAATTCCAGGATGGGCAGGAAAATCTACAGCTTTAACCTCTTATGGCTGCCAGCTGATAGGGCTAAGAATTCAGGAAAGAGTTTAATGGTAAGTGATATAGCGCAATTTTATACATCCAATCATGCAGTCTCGGATGCTGACATAAGTACACTGGCAGGAAAGCAGATTCCCAATGATGGATGTACAATCTGGGCAATACAAATGAGGCTCAGAATGCTGACTCCAGTTCAACTCAACTGAACTTCCCAGCTGAAAGCAGCTACCTTCACCACCTCTGAGGTGTCTAGACTCCTAACAACACCCCCCATATGACTCTTTGAAGTTGCTTTACAAGGAGATGCCAATTCTTCATACTTCCGTTCCCTCTGCTCTTCATTGCCTCAACCCAAACAAACTTTAAAAGAAGGTCAAGACCAACTCTAAGTGGATATCAAATTCAATGTTACACTAACTATTGTGGTCCATTACAAAGCCACAAGCATATACTGTTGATCTTTCTCTAGGCCTTTCCCAAGAGTGATCCCCAGCAATTCCCCAGGGTGCCTAACCACTGTAGAAAAGGAAATAAAAACCCTTCCAAAAGGTTACTGGATACCACTTCTGAACTGTTACCTCTGGAGAAAAATGTGCTCCACTAGTCACAGCTGGACTCCCAAATATGGCATACGGGATGACGGTGACCCTAGTACCTCAGTGGATTCAATAGATCTATAGGCCTGTTTGTGCCTACTTCCCTAGTCCTAGAATTTTACTGGAAATAAATATATGAGTTTACTAAAAGGCCAACTCTCCCTCCCTGGTTCCTTGTCCTGTCTATAAAAGCTATTCCAGGAGAAACAATCATGTGGAAACCCGACAAGCAACACAGAATTGCTGACCCCTTAGGGTTTACCAACAGCTACTGCCCATTTGGGTCGTACTGGCTTAAAACCCTTGCAACTGGTCAATCTATTAACACTAAGAAAGTAACAAAATATATTCCATCCACTATCCCTCAGAAATCAGGATCACTATAAAAAAACCTGGAGGAATCAGGAGTGTTAATCCCATCATATCCCCACTTAAGTTGCCTGTTTACCTGGGCCAAAGCTAAAAAGATCTTGAAACATGACTGGATTGCCATAAATTTAATCAAGTGGTGATGCTAATTCCAGATGCAATCCTAGATGAGGTGTTTTCAAATGATGAATATTAGTACAACCCCTGATAGCAAGTACATGACTATTCACCTGGTAGACATTTGCTTTTCTACCAGCATCAATCAGTAAGGACAATGAGATGCAGTCTTCCATCATATGACAGACAGCAGTATCTACCATTCACTGTCCTGAGAGCTAATTTGCATTGTCATTGTATGGTCTAAAGGGAACATGCCCATGTTGACCTCACAGGCTACCACAATGCCCCATCACATTGGTAAAATTGCCTTAACTGGTCCCAGTAAACAAGAAGTAGCAAGCACTCTGGTACCCATGGAAGACACAGAAGAGTATGGAAAGAAGATGCCATTGAGGTTCAGGGATCTACCATGTGGATGGTTCTCTAGGCCTTCCCTGCTCTGAGCCAAGAGAAGTGAGATGTGCTATATTCTACACCACATCCACTGAGACATAAGCAAAACAACTGGGAACTTCAGGTTTGGATGTGCTATTCTGTCCCACTTGCTGAGAAACCCAGGAAGGTGCACTTTTCACTGAAGCCTGTTTTAAGAAAACGTCCTGCCATAATAAAAGCCGCAGTAGCCTGAGCCTCTGCCTCAACACACTCAAGCGGCACAGAAATGACATGTCAGACAGGGATGGATTAAGGTGTCTCAGACAAGCACCAAGGGAAGAGTCAGAGCTACAGACCCCTTAGGATTTGCCAACAGCTACTGTTGATTTGGTTCCTGGCTTGCTACTCAGCCTAGGAAGAAATTAGGCACCTCTCTAAGGAAAACCAAGAAATTGCTAACTTCAACAGTAAGCACATCATAAATAGAACACTATTCGATTCACCAAATAAAAAACTGGACATGTATAGCAGCAGTCCACTCAGTACAGTTAAAGCAAAACTGGGCCTAAGCAAGTCTGGATGGCACAAGTATGCTTGCAGAAATAAAGGGCACAGTTTCCACTAGTAGCAGTTAGGGTATGAACCTGATGGTGTGACATTGGGCTGTTACTCATACTGCATTATTCCATAATATGTACAGAGACCTACAGGAACGAATAGACTGATGAACCAACCTCCCTCCCTCCCCTCCCTTCCCTCCCTCCCTTTCTTTTTTTGGTTTGAGACACGGTTTTGGTATGCGCCCTTCCTGGTCTTGAACTCCAGGCTTAGAGTGATCGATCCTGTTGCCTTGGCCTCCCCATAAGTAGTTAGGACCACAGGAGCATGTGACCATGCCTGCCTATCATAAACTTAAATGGTTAAAAGTAGAATTAGGAAGGGGCTAGAGAAATGGCTCAGCAGTTAAGAACAATGGCTGCTGCTGGAGAGGGCCTGGGTTCAGTTCCCATCACCCACACTGCAGCTAACAACCATTTTTAACTTCAGTTTCAGGGGATCCAATGCCCTCTTCTGGCCTGTGAAGGCATTACATGCACAGGTGCACTTAACATACATGCAGGCAAAACACTCATACACATACAAATAAATAAATCTTTTTTTAAAAGTAGAATTAGAAAAAGTAACCCTGACATTACTATGAATTTAATACATACTTAACTCATAAAAGTCAAACAATAGAATTCAACAGACCCATCCTCTGGCCATGTACTAAACAGAGTAGAACGCGAAAAGGAATGACATAGGAGCCCACAACTGGGAAAGAAGAGAAACAACTATGCTGTTCATGTGGGAACAAAACCCAGAACTTTTAAAGAAGTTCAAAGGTATGTAGCACTCTTCAAAAGAGTAACAGAAGAAGGACCTGCCTTCACTCTGCTGGCAAGGCAGAAGACCATCTTGTTGACTGATTCTTGGGGGAGGCTGGCTTGTCTAGGCATAAGAGACATGTTCCCAGTAAGATTATCTATTAGATGCTAATTCACAGTGGAATAACTAATCTTGCTATCCACCTCATCAGTCAATTTAGGCAAGTCCAACAAGACAGGAAGAAATGGGTCAGGTGAAAGAACTATCAGAGACCAGCCAGATTTTAAGATGGATGGTGAATTTGCAAGGGTAACACAATAAGCTAGAAAATATCATATAACAGTTCTCACTTGGGAGTAATTTTGCCCCAGATTCAATATTTGGCAGTGTCTGAAGACATTTTTACTTGTCTCTACTTGGAGGGGATAAGGAATGTTGCTGAG